TCTCGTGCCAACTCCATTGCGGAACCCGAACTGTGTATCGCTGATGTCGTTATCCAGTTTTTTATACACACGGTTGTGAATTATTTTTAAAAATAATTTGAGTGTATGGCTCATTAGGCTTATGGTCCTATGATCTTTACATAATCTTGCGTTGGCTTTCTTAGGAATCACAATGAAGGTCGACACCAACCAGTCTTTTGGTATCGTTCCTGATCTGTAGATCGCATTGAAGAGCTCAGCAAGTGCATCCAAGCTGTATATACATATGTTCCTTAAGCAGTTTTATTATTTCAATGGGTCAGGGTCTGGGCCAGGTCTGGGCCAGGTCTGGGCCAGGTGCTTTACCGTTCTTCATGTTCTTCAGCGCATATTCTATTTAATCTGTTGTTATTTCTGGTCCGGTTTCTATATCATTTTCTGGGGGTAAAGGTCTATTCCTGTCATCTTCGAAGAGCGTTTCGATATATGTTTTCAATGTCTTAAGCTTTGATGTCAGCTCCATTACTATATTCCCATCATCATCCACCAGTATATTTGCGTTCCTCTTTTTATAATTTCCAGTGATCTCCTTAACCTTTTTATGTATATTAAAGGAGTCATGTACTTTTTGCAGTTGTTCAATTTCGGCACATTTTTCATTCAACCAGTGTTCTTTGTTTCTTTTACTTTCTTTTTGTATTTCCCGATGTATACTTTTGTATCTGTTGTTTTCAGTGGTTTTAGCCTCTCTTCTTAATCTCATTAATTCGATAATTTCATCGGTCATCCATTCGTTTTTCTTTTTCTCATTCTTACAGCCCAACTCTTTGTTTCCTATTTCAAGAATTGTGTCTTTAATTTTCTCCCATTCGATGTTTATGTCTCCCTTATCTCTACTCTGTGATGTTTGCAACTCTTCTGTAAGTCGTTTTTCAACCCTTGATCTAGTTTCGCTGTTTCTTAATCTTGTGACGTCCATTTTGGTACTCTTCTTGAACTGTTTGATACGTTTTAAAGTTAGTTTGAATGTTGCAACTACAGGGTTATGATCCGATGCGAAGTCTGCCCCTGGGTATGTCTTGGCTGAGAGTATGCTATTTCTGTATCGTTTATTAATCATGACATAGTCGATCTGGTTTCTTACTATTTTATCTTTTGTGTCCTGTGGTGATCTCCACGTGTATAATCTTCTTGGTGGTAGTTTGAATAAGGTGTTTGTCACTACTATATATTTCTCTTGGACAAATTCAACCAGCCTCTCTCCTCTCTCGTTACGCTCGGATAGTATTTAATATATGTTAAATAGAATTCATTAATATACAGAGTTTTTCACGCGACTGTGGTTAAAGTTTTTTCAAGATTATTTCGAAGTGCCATCATCATCACTCTCAGCTTGCTCCCAGGTTTCGCATGCATAGGTAATGACTGGCAGTACACATTGATCGAATGTTTTCTTCTTTAGATAGAGTGGCATTCTAGATTTGAATATGATGAGTTTCCTCCATTAGTACTCCATGCTAAGCTATTTTTTAGGCTAAGGATTTTCCTTGATTTAACTAAGAGCAATGTTCGTACTAATTCGTAACTATTCCCTGTAAAACCGTCTCAGATACTGGCTATTATCAAAGCGTAAGACTGTATGATGAGTTATAACTCAAGAAAAGGGGACACAATAGATCTGTAAGGTCACGAGAGTTATGTGATTTTGTTTTTATTTTTTCGAGTGTATCTGAAGAGATAAAAACAATTTCAATTAGAAAAAAAATATGCTGCTTCCCTGCTCTACGAGTTGTTGTTGACTTTAATTCTGTTATATCGTATTTTATTTTCGTATCATATTTTCTTTTTAAGAAGCTTATAGGGACCTACCAAATGGAATGATCACATAAGAAGGGTATCACAGTTGATACAAATATCGATATTTAAAAAAACGTCGATTTTTTGACATATCGATAACTGTGGACATTTCTATCCCTAAGTGAAGATAAAACTGTTTTAATTTATCGGAGATTGGGGGTATTGAGGGACTACGGAGATAGACAGAGAATGGCGGTGTATATAGAGTGTTAATTTAACCATGTACTGGCAATTTCCTCCAGCAGTGCGTCTCCGTTTTTTTAAATTGCGACTCCGGCAGCAAAATTGTGCAGACTTACAAAATTAGCCTTTATTTCTAATTTTAGCACCTGTATTCTGTTTTTAACTTGTACTGGTAATGTTCCATCAATTTAGAAACAGTCTGGCTGTTTTATCTATGTATTATTCACAATTAATGCAACTGCAAATATATCTACTTTTGGTAAAAGTCAATAAAGGTCGGATTTTTAAATGTCTTCACTAGTCTTCAGTGTCTTGACTGGCATTTTAAGGAAACCTATAGTTCTAAATTCAATCATTGATGGCCAGTGCTACTTATAATAATATATACATTTTTCAAGAATTAATGACTAAACACGTAATATTTGTTTAAATAAAAGAAATACAATATTAGTCATTAAATATTTTTAATTGGATAACAGTCATTTTTATTAACGGGGTTGAAAAATTATTGAATTACTAATATCGCTATTAAAAAATAGGGGTTGATGGTAGAAGGGTGAAAATTTTGGGTTGTATGTATTTTTAATGTCACATCCTAAAAAAATTAAAATAAAAATAATAAATTTTGTCCAAAAAAATTGGGGTGGGCCACTCTTATCACTTAGGGGTATAAAAAATAGATAACAACCTATTGTCAGACCTACTGAATATACATATAAAATTTCATGAAAATCGGTCAAGCCGTTTCGGAGGAATATGCGGTAACTAAAACTGTGACACATAAATGTTATACAGGGTGAATCCTAAATAAGTGCAAATATTTTTAGGACTAGTATATTTAAACCCCAGAAACACAATTATGAGTTTTTTCGCGAAAAAAGTTTTTTGAAAATTTCGAATTTTTTTTTAAAAATTTTGGATTTTTTTTTTATTTTTCAGTTAAAAACATAATTTCTTGACCAATATGGCAACATAGGTAGTAGATTAAATTTATAAGGTCCTTTATGTCTCCTAAGTACTGTTAAGGTGAGTTGATGTAAATAATAACTGTACTGTTTATATAGGGTGGGTCTTAAATAATGCAAATATTTTAAGGAGTAGTATACCGGGTGCGTCTCAAAAGTGTTGAACTTTTAACTACTATAACTTTTTTATTTTTTCAGATAAAAAAACGAGATTTGGTACGTTAGTATATGACATAAATTGGGACTAATTGACGTATTTAATTGTTTTCGGTCACTTCCTGTTTCACCGGAAATGACTACAACTTTTGATTTTTAAATGACACCCTCGGTATTTTTTACTTTATTCGATAGAAAATAAGACTCTGAATAGAATGACATATCATATGTCAACTTTTGACAATTTCGCATATGCTTTATTTGAAATTATAACTTGCGGTTCGTAATGAAAATTTGACTGAAATACAGTACGTCTGCTGGATCTGTGTCTATGAAAGGAATGCGGACAAAAAACATTTAAATAAACAGCAATATATTTTATACGTCGACTTGACGAGTACGTCACCGCAAATCGCTCCGCCCACTCATTTTATTGGCTACTTGCAAATTTGTCGAATTTTTATTGATGGGACGCGTCGTCTAATTTTTTACGAAAAACATCGAGAGAATATCGTTTCCCCTCTCACGGATACCCCGTAGCTACAGAACGGACAGACGTACTGTACCAAGTGTGTGGTATCAAATTATTCGTAAAAAAATGCTTTTTCCAAATATGCTAATGAGCCACCCTCGTTCCATTTGAAAAAAATGAGATATGATTAAAAATACGATTTGGGCATTTTTTAACCGGACAGGACAAGACACTAAAATCATTAGACGATCAAATCTATTTTTCCAAAGCTCCTTGATTCAGAATTAGTGTTTTTAACATAGTCATGGCACTCTAGATTGAGATTTAAAATACGATTTTTTATTAAGCGAGAATGTCAAAAGTTGACATATGATACGTCATTTTATTCAGAATATCATTTTCTATCGAATAAAGTAAAAATATACCGGGGTGCCATTTAAAAATCAAAAGTAGTAGTCATTTCCGGTGAAACAGGAAGTAACCAAAAGCAATTGAATACGTCAATCAATTCCAATTTATGTCATATACTAACATACCAAATCTCGTTTTTTTTATCTCATAAAATAAAAAAGTTATAAGTTATAGGGGTGAGCCACTTTTGAGACGCACCCGGTATTTCGATCCCAGAAACACGATTATGAGGTTTTTTCCTCGAAAATTTTTTTGGTTAGAAATGTTTTAATTTTTTTGTTGAAAAAGTTGGAATTTTTTTAAAAAAAGATGGATTTTGTTTTAGTTTTTAGTTAAACAACATAATTTGTTGATAATATGGCAACATAGGTAGTAGATAAAATTTAGAAGAAAAGATCCAGTGGTTCTCAAAATTTTAACAAAAAAATATTTTTTTGCGAAATTTTCAAGCTAAAATAACTCGGTTTTTTTGGACTTATTTGAAAAACGGTAAAGAGAAAATATGTTGCTTTTATCGAGATCTACCAGCCCTGAAAATATTTGCACTAATTTAAGACTCACCCTGTATATTCGATATACTTATAGTTGTTTCTAAATTTAAAATTCATAGTAACATAACAGACAGCTTCAAAATTGTTTATTTACGAATTAAGATCATGAACATTTTGCTTTATCATTATTAGGGTTTTCTTTGCGAAAAATCTTTTTATCAAAGTAAGACAATAATTCGGTGCGATAGGACGTATAATGTCAAAGATCAAACTAATCGTTCATAACGTGCATAAATTGTGGAACAAGTGATGTAATAATTGAAATATCTATAAGTAAAACAAATTCTGCAGGTAATTGTTTTTCCACTAGAGGTCGAAAACCTTGCATTTCTTCCTTCCACTGCATTTCCTCTTGCAACGTTGCCCAATTTTCTTCCTTTCTACCGAGACCCATACGAAAAGAAAGCCGCACAAAATTGTGGTACCCTAGGTAGGCACGACCACAGCTGTTTCACCAATACCGGCTGCATTCGCTTATCCGCGTTCTCCAGTGAAAGTACTAACCGCATTATATTCCCCGGCAGTTTAAACATAACAAATCAATCGTGGTGGTGGATATTCTTTAGTCGGTTGCTCGTGTTTCGTTTGAAAGTACCGATATACCGGACCGAGTAAAAATTCAGCGTGCGTTGACGGAAGTACCATGGTGGAAGCTGCCGAAGAATGGACGCCGGTTCTCAGACAGGAAGTACCCTTGAGGCAGCTAAACAGGATAGCCCGGAAACCTCCTATTGATATAGAGTTTCAAGATTTGACTTATTCTGTCAGGGATTCTTATTCCGGAAAAGGTCAGTTATAATTTAAGACGGGACAGTGTATTTTATTCAGTTTTAATTTTTAAAGTGAGGACATTCATTAAAAACGTATTATAGGGTTTTTACTCAATTTTAATTGCTATAGATATTATTACACTACATGTGTTTTAACCGATTTGAAGAGTAATAACTTTTCGTCCGTACCAGTATAAAACTACCGAATGAAAAAATATTAATTTCCGTGATTTTTTACGTAAAAATGTCTCTGGGTAAAAATCGCTAAGAGCAACCCTTCTCAAAGATATTTAGAATGGAAATAGTCAATACATGTCATTATTGACAAAAAAATAAACAGGTTGAGATATAGTTATTTGACTGAAATGATAAATTTGACAACTTTTTATTTTTTTTTAAATTAATCATAAATTTTTCTTCGAAAAAAATGATGATAAAACAGTTTCTGTTGAACTTTTGGCACAAAAACATTTCAAATTTATGATTTCAGTCTAATAACTATTTAGTCAACATTTTTAATCTATGTCGATGATGACAGGTATTGATAATTTCGATTCCAAATATCTCGAGAATCATTACTCGTAGCAATTTTTACCAAGAGACCTTTTTTACGTAAAAAACTTCGTAAATGTATATTTTTTTACTCAGTAGTTTTATACAGGTACGGACGAAAAGTTATTACTCTTCAAACCAGTTAAAAAATATGTAGGTGGCGCCTTCTACAAGTACGAGTCATATTGAAAAAAAATCAAATTTCTCATATCAAAGAACTCCCAGACACCAATTTTCACCAAATATTGACTTTACTTCAGAAATTACTTTACGGAAAAAATCGAAATAAAAATGAAACTTCTACACCCTGATTTTCGAAACTAAACATTTTAGGACATATATTTTTAGGAACTTTTTTACTTATTTTTATCTGCAGAATATACCGCCGAAGTTACCGGAATACAGTTCGGACCACCCTGTACATAATTTTGGAACAATTGGTCACCCTGCATATATTTAGATTTCTCAAACAATAAGTTTTTGATAATTTGCGCAATATTATATTTTTTCATACTTCATTAACTAGGAAACTACAAAGGAAATCAAGAAAAGCACCTTGAAAAATCCTCAGAGAAATAATTGTTTGCAACAACAAAGAATTTTATTATGACATTTATATGTAAATAGGTCCGTTCTTAAAGTATATTGCGCGTTTTTCTCACATTTAACTGAGTATTAGATTAGTTAGTTTCAAACTTTGTTTGGTAATGTCCCATCAATACGGTGAGCCAAAAAAAACTAACCTATGAACTTTATGGGTTAAAATGAACCTAGAAAAAAATATCCCCGGAAAGCAGGATTTTTAGCTCAATTTAAAAAGGTGTCGGTGAACATTCAAAGTTTTCCATTTAAATAACACGTAAAAAAATATTTTTCCATTAAAAGTACCATAACTTTGAAACGGTTTGGAATAAAAATTACATCGCGGATTCTTGTAGAGCATAAAATTTCCTAAAAAATCTATCTGGGAGTAATTTAGTTTCTTTTTACTAAATATGAAAATTTTTAATCAATAAATACTAAAACTGGAAATGTGTGTAAACCGGAAAAAATGTGTTTTATTTTTTTTTAAATTTTTGTTTTTTTTTCTAGTTTTTTAGTGATGACATTCCGAGGAGATTGTGAAAATATGTATAAAAAATAGATATATGAACAATTATACCAATTTGAATTTCAAATTGAGATTAAGAGGTTAATAATGTGCTATGTTGCAAGTAAACAATGCTGTACGTTTAATTCATTAACATATAATTAAACAGCTTACTTAATTAGGTACTATTTACACTAAGATTAAAATAGTGCACGATCTTATATCGATATGTGTTCTAAACGTTTAAAAATATAAACAATCTTGAAAAATAATAACTTCTGGGAAGATAGATATGTGAGTGGTATATTGGTGATCTACTGAACTTGAACTACTTAATAAGTGTGACTAAGATATTTAGTACGTAACTAATAAATACAGTTGCATATATATATTTGATGGCAATTAAACTTTTAGTTATGTAATCGAGGGCGCTATTTTTAAATTATTTGTTGCCAACCATGGACATATTCGGCACCGCGCTGACTAACTGAAATTAAAATTTCCCGCTGGGGATTCAGGTGGTAGTTCTGCTGTAAAAAATGTCAAGTTGCCATATTTATTTATTTATTTCCTGACATTGTCATTCGTTTTGACACTTACGATTTTTTGGTTTAAATTAATTGTGTTGTGATACTTTAAGCTTAAAAATGTTTACTAGCAGACCTTGCAGTCAAACATTGTTCTTTTTAGAACCTCTTTTAGTGCGAAGTGTACAAGATAGTCGTAAAAACTCATTGCAACTTTATTAGAACGGGAAAGCGGTAGTAATGGCTCTTTATCTCACTTAAGTGCTGTTAAGAAGGTGAGTTTTGTTGATGTAAATAATAACTGTTTATATTGTTACGGATTCCGTGGGTCCACTATTTAAACTCACGATAAAATACTTAACGAATTTATTTGTTTCACTCTGTACACACAACTTATACTATTTACAACACAACGTATGCAACTACTATTACTCTAACGGTATTTCGCGGTATTTTCAAACTTCAGACTATCTTCAGACTTTAGACTTCAAACTTCAAAACTTTAAACTTAAACTTGTCCAACTGTCAAAGCGCGGGCCTTATATACCCCGTGGCGGTTGTTTCTAGATTTTTCTAAAGAATTCTATAATTTTCTTTACTTTCTGGCGAATGCGCCAGGTTCCTCAATGCACCGTTGCGGTTATGCAACCAGTAATACACCTTGACCTTAACAATATATTTATAATTAATTTATTTTTGTTTCCTAAAGTATTCTGATTAAAAGAAAATATATAAAAGTGGGAAACGCTGTGCCGGTCAAGCTTATCACGTGACTACAAGTTTATTTGGTATGAACTGTAGACACAGTGGCTTAACTAGAAATTTTGTGGTAATATTAAGCCCCTGGTCCCATATCTCAATGTTTAACCAGTCAGGACTGCCCGACTGGTTAAAACCCGTGGTTCAAAACCAAAATTCATGGTTTTCAACGATTAATGATATGTTAATTGCGGAAATTTTGTACAAATTGTTATTCTGAGGAAATCCTAAATATGCCTCAAATCGATTTATTTTGTTGCACAATATTATTACACATTTTAATGATACCTTGATTGCCTGTTATGATTACTAAGTATTATGTCTGTTAAATCAACATTTCCGGTCATTGAAATCTAGGGTATTTTTAAAGGATTATGGAAAAATTTACACAGCTTTTTTCCAATAGATTTACAATTTTTCGTAATAGCTCAAATTATAATGTTAATAACGGCATAATGGTATTAGTATACCAGGTTATAACCAAGTAAATACTACAAAAGTGATTTTGGTTGTCTCTTGATCGAATTAATTTGAAAAATTGAAAAATTCAGTTTATTAAAACTGGTACTCATTTATTAATTATTATTAAGAGTCCATTTCACTAGTCCGAAAAAGTAGCAAAATAAGCGTTCGGCATTTAACGTTTTATGTAAAACTGGCTAGGTAATTTTACACAAATGAAGAAGGAAATTAAAAATAAAGGATTATACTATATCCGTATTGTCGCACATTTTAGGACACAACTTCTTTATTTTTAAGATTTTGATGGTCAAACATCAACAAAATATTCCTTATGTTTGGACTAAATTTTCTCGAAAATAAAGGCATAATTTAAAATTCCGTTACCATACGGAAATAGATCGAAGTTTTGTGATTACAGTGATATATAATTTATATAATTTTATAACAAATTACTCGCTATATTATGACAAATGCTAAAGGCCTGCAAACCTTAATCAAGCCTTAATCAAAGCACGTGTGTTTGGAATTTTGGATGTGGCTTAACACGACAGGATCAGGCTAAGCCTTAGTGTGCGAACACAGTGCAAGCAGGTTTGCCGCTTACTGGTACTCGGCGTCAATCTGGGTACCTATTCTTGACATCGTTCGCAATTTTGCGTATACGCATCACGTGTATTGTTATAAACAGGGTATCCCAGAAATAAGTGCAAGTATTTTAAAGGCTGGTAGATCTCGATAAAAGAAACATATTTTCTCTTTATCGTTTTTCAAATAAGTCCAAAATAACGGAGTTATTTTTACTTTGAAAATTTTCAAAAAAAGTTATTTTTTTCTAAAATTTTGAGAACCACTGGATTTTTTCTGGATTTTCTTTCTTGTAACTTTAATCTACTACCTATGTTGCCATATTATCAAGAAATTATTTTCTTTAAATAAAAACTAAAAAAAAATCCAAAAAAATTTTCAAAAAATTCCGAATTTTCAAAAAAAAATATTTAGAAAAAAACCTCATTGGCGTGTTTCTGGGGTTGAACTATACTACCAGTTAAGTTAAAATACTTGCACTTATTTCTGGGAGACCCTGTATGTGGGTACATCGTAGCGCCGCGCCGCCTCGCGCTTATAACCTTGAAAAATTAAAGCGTGTTATCAAATCGGCTAGTTCACAGTGAAAGCAGGCAGATGGCAGGCAGGCACCGTCAACCTTGCCGTCAACCAGCGTTCATCGGCGTTCTCGCTTTTACCGGAACGAAAATTTATTTATTTCTGCTTTTGCACGCGCCGACAGCACACAGAGGGTATTAAGAACTAAAAGTTGGCCAAAATTATGTTTTATGATTTTTTTGCTTTTTTGCTTGTAATATTAATTATTAATTAGAGGAGAGGTTGCTAATATGGAACCCCATTTTGTTTTTCCTACACAATATTTTTTCCTCTACTCTGAAACCCTTTCCACCGATCAAATAGGGCCATTCTGTGCAAAATCAAGCAATTGGATGAGGATGCTAGAACAAGAAAGTAATTTGTATATTATAGACGATATTTGAGCGAGGATGGGTGTTATAGGGTAAAGACTATTTCCTTTAAGAATCTATTTAAATCAATGTTTTTTTGGCAGTGGCAAATAT